TAATATACTTATTATTTCTGCCTATTCTGTCTGCCTATTCTGCTCCCCATTGTAGGTCATGGAGTCCCTGACCTATAATGATTCAACCTGTGATTCTTCGACTTTAGCTGGTGCTAAGTGATATGCATTCAGCAGAAACTTTAAATGTTGAATGTTCAGTTTCCCAGACCAGTGCTTTACTGTAACACACAATCACGATGCTGGACACGAGCAGTGGGCACCGCTCCCAGGTACTGTGGCAGAATGGGAAGCAATGCAAGCTTTACAGTGTCCTGTGCAGGCAGCACACTGCTTCAAGCAGAGGGAAAAGCATATGCAATGGTCCTGAAGCTATCAAGAGCTTGACGTATTGGTTGGGAGAGGGAGATAAGAGGTGTAACCTATACAGAAGCCAAGAGAACCAAAAGCATGGGATTCAGAGGCCTGGTTAGGAGTTTGGATTTTATTCTAAACACAATGGCCACATCAATGTTTTCGGGGGTTTTAACTAAGGGAAGAAAATAATTCAATTTATGGTTCAGTGAGTTCATTTTTGCTGCTGTGTGGAGAATGGACTGGAGGTAACAAGTGTAGAAGTGGATCTTAAAGGAGTGGTTCAGTACCAGACAGGGTGTCCAGGAGAATTCCAAGTCTGAGAGGAAGACAAGGCCCCAGGGAGCAGGGAAGCATGCCTGGAGGAGAGATGTCCCCAGAGGCCTCCCCCGGGTCTGTCTACACTGAAAATCACTTCTCACTAGACTCTGACCCGCAAAGAGAACTACTCGAAGGGAAGACCACAGTAGCCCCCCTCCCCATCTGAACAGCTTAGTCTTCCCCTTTTCTTCTCACATCACACTTAGGATCTCAGCTTAGGTCAGAGTGGGTGCAATGCATACATGCCTCCTCCCTCCAGGATTTCTGGGTCACAGGGTCTCTCAGTCATACACCCAGGCTCTGGATTTGTTGTTGACGATGACCTGGTCCAAGTGACTCCCTCACCTTGCTCCATGCTTGAGTGGGCTTTTAAAATCCAAGTTATTTAAACTGTCTCAACTGGGGCCTCCCTGGTGGCCTAGGAGTTAAGTCTCAGCACTATCACCTCTATGGCCTGAGTTTCATCCCCAGCCAGGGAGCTGACCCATATGGCACAGCAGACCTCTGCTGTCTAGCCCGCTGCTCCCCTAAGCAGTGTATTACAGCAGATCCACCTGTTCTGCTCCCCACTCTGCCTCTGGTGAATCCTCTCACTCCCGCACCTCTGGCCTACGCCCCAGTTCTTCTTTACATAAATAAATAAATCTTTTTAAAAATAATAATAAAATAAACTATCACGACTGGCATCTTTTCCGAATATTGAAAAAATAATACCAAAGTAACAGGAGAGGCAAGCTAAAAGAGTGCTATTTTTCCCCCAGAGAATTGATGGAAATGAGGGACTGATGTTTCAAAAATCCTAACTAAAGCAGAAGAATCAAAGGGATCCCTGCCATTGGGAGTTTGGGCCCCAATTCCAGCTCCAGCCTCTGAGGCTGACTCAGAAGAGGGGGAGGGGGACCATGCCACAGTCACCCTGGCCCTCAGGCAGCAGAGCCTCCGCCTACACAGTAATTGGGAGTAGGCAAAAACAGGATCCACCAACTTCCCCTTCTCTGATGGGAAGTTCATGATCAGCCACAAAAGCTGCCATCTGTAATGCACAGCTGCTCCCTTCACAAGGACCCCCGCCTCAGCACATCACCTTCACAGTTTGCTAGTATTTCTAGCGGAATTCCCAATTCCTGCAGCTTTATAACTCCGAGCTAAAAATATAGTGCCGCTGGCACATGGCCCAGATTCTAAAGCCCCAAAAAGACTGAAGGGTAGATAAATAAGAAGGGGTGTGCTGAGAGAGGAGCAGGCAGAGCAAAGAAGCCGTGGCCATGTGGTGAGGTGGGGGAGGAGGAAGAGGGTGTCAGCAAGCCCAGGAAGCAGTTATTAGAGGAGGGAACAAGAAGGGGAGATCCAAATAACAGTTCTTTGGGGGGACAGAACAAGCACTCCCCTCTAAATTAACTTCTCCATTCTCAGTCCAGTAATCCAGAGGACAACTAATTTTCAAAGCAACACAAATGGTTTTATATGGGGTTTTCTATACAAATCCTTAGGGAGTTCTTCCATATGCATTACCGCACATTTTAATCGAAGTTCTGCATATTACTGGTCCATTAAAATATACTTTGTATGTACTTTTTGAATTTCTTAACCCCCAGGTAATAATGATCAAAATGTGTTTAAAGCCTGAATTGCAAATGGAAGAGCAAAAGGATTAATTTAACCAAGAACATCACTGAAGTTTCTTAGCTATGCAATAAATTCAACGAAACTAAGGCTTTTTCTTGCAAAGATAAACAGTTTTGTTTACCCAATGTGTGAAAAATCCCTTCAATATAGAAAACACATAAAATGTAAAAATCATCCAGAATCCCTGCCAGTGGAAATTACCATTGTTAGCATTTTGATAAGGAGCCTTCTAAGGTTAAATATTTATGTATACATTATGGGCCTCCCTGGTGTTGCAAGGGTTAAAGTCTCAGTGCTATCAATCTATGGCCAGCCACCACTGAGTCACCAATTCAATGCTGCTCCCCTCAGCAGTGTGTTTCAGTAGATCCGCCTGCTCTGCTCCCCACTCTGTCTCTGATGAATCCTCTCACCCCCAACACACACACTTCTGTCCTATATCCCAGTTCTTGTATGCATAAATAAATAAAAATAAATATCTTAAAAAATATTTATGTTCACATGAACTATTCCAAATTAAGATCATGTTATTCATACAGCTTACAATTCATAATATGTACCTATGTCAATAAAAACTCTTTTCCAACACTTCTATTGGATACACAATATTTCATCTTGTGTATATACTATAATTTATTCAACCAATCTTCTATTGAATGACATGGGATTGATTCAAATATTTCTCTACTCTAAGCAAATAAAACTACAGAAAATTAAAAGCATGAGTGCTTTACACTTCTTTCTACAAATCTGAACATCTAGATGAAACAGATGATATTCTAGGAATACAAGAACTACCAAAGAGGATAGGAAACTTAAACATACAGTAAGTATAGAATTTTTAAAATAGCTCTCCAAAAGTACCACATCCAGATGGCTTTTCAAGTGAAGTCTCCCAAATCTTTAAAAATTCTATTTATAATATACCAGAGAATAAAGAAAAAAGGAAGTACTTTCACAGTCTTTTTTGCTTTAATGCCAAACCCAACATAGATGGCACAGAAAATGAAAACAGACTAAACTAGCTTATGAATATCAAGGCCAGAATTCAAGGTAAAATTTAGCAGCTATAATCCAGATTAAAATAATAAAATACCAAAGACCCAGAGTCAGTTCAGCAATTAGTATTGAGTATTATCAGTAATTATAACAATATAAATGACTCTATATATGACTTTTTAAAAGGAGACAAAATATATAATCATCTCAATGGATGTCTAAAAGATTTGTGATCAAAATAAGTCATTTCTGATTTTTAAAACAACCTTGTAAAACGAGAAAAGATGGGTGCTTCCTTAAGATTATATATAGCAAAAGCTAGTAAAATGCTAACAGAGAAGCAGAGAAAGCCAAAAGTAGAAAACAAACCAAAAGTCAGTATCAGCATAAAAACAGAGGCAGTGTATCAGCAGGATTAAGAGCATGTGAGTCCAGTCCTGGAGCTGCAATTTCTGCCTTCAAATCAGGTCTACCACTAGCTGTATTGTAACAGGGTGGTCCCCAGGGAAAGGGGGGGGGTTCCAGTGGAGATCTAAATAACAGTTCTTTGGCGGGGGACATAACAAGCACTCTCCTCTAAATTAACTTTCTTCATTCTCAGTCCAATAATCCAGACGCCTACTAATTTTCAGGGAGGAGAAGGAGCAGAGAGGAGACTGGGAAAAGAGAAAAGGATGGAGAGCAAGAAGAAAACCTGGAAAACGCACATGGAGCAGAGAGACATGTGAAGAAGCTAAACCTGCTTCTCAGCCTTGGATTTGTACCACGGACTTGGGGGACATGGTACAAGTCCACTTGAAACCTATGTGGCTGAGAGACCCATGGGGAGGTTAACAATGGCAGCTTTTATCTTGATTTTGATTTTGCTCTTTTCCTTTTAGACTCGTATGGCCGTTCCTGACCTTTTCCTATGGGTTCCCACCAGAAGGTGCTTTAGACTGTGGCAAACTTTTGGGCCTCAGCAGTCTTGCTTTGGGCCAACCCTGTTTGAATGGGCATTTCCCCACAAGGGGATGGGTAATTTTGGTTGCTTGATTTAAGAACTTTGTTCTTTTTCTTGTCTTTTTTGCACATTAATTGTATTAAAGTTCCTTTCCATTAAAGGTCTTATGCACTAAAGTATGTTTTGTCTTAATGTGGCAGATGACAGAACCTATTAAAGCAGGCAGGTTTGAGGTTCCTGGGGTGCCCCCCAGGAACCAGTAAACAGTATAACTCTACCAGGAAACAGTATAACCTTGAACAAGACCTTAACCTCCGTGTCTCAGTTTTCTCATCTGTAAAACATGATAATAATAGATGTATTGTCAGGATAAAATGAGGCGATATGTACATACAAATCACTTGGCTCATAACACTGTGTACACAAGAATATAAGAAGATATACTGTTGTCAAAACATCAAAATCATGAATGATGAAACAGTAAAACCATTCCAAGGAAGTCAGGAATAAAAAAGGAATATTCAAAGTCAATATCTGTATTAAAATTTTGGTTCTGAAAACACTAATCAAGTGGTCAATCAAGAGAAAAACAACTTTTTTAGATGTAGACAAATAAAAGATTATTGTTATTTACAGATAAAACACTATCCCTGAAAAAAAACAAGAGAATCAACGGAAAACCTATGAGAAACAATAGGAATTTATGGGATTTATTTCATTCACTTACCTTCCAAAAAAGAAAAATGAAAACAATCTCAAACTTGTATGAGCTGGGAACCTAAACCTTCTGAAAACTCACCTTGGCAATTTAATTTGGGAGGCTCCCATGTGCCCTGGGCTGTGCAGCTTGAAACCATGTCTTCTGGGCCACTAAAGAATCCTTCTCTGCAAGCATAATGAACCTGGCTGCCAAGCCTAGAGGTATAATTTCCTAGGATATAGCCATCTGGGACGTCAGGAGGGGGGCCACAGTCTATTTCTGAAAATAACGTAATATCAAATTCATTACTATGTGCATGTGAATTTTCAAAATTCATACCCTCCCTCCATCTCTATCCCTCCCCTCTCCCTCTTCACACACACACCCTAAGGCATATTTTAAATAGGCTGTTTCATTTCCATATGCCTTCTGGTTCCAATGACTGTCTTCAATCTTCTGACCTTCCATGGATAACAGCATCTATACATACACACAGATGAATGAATTTGGCAATTAACTCACTAATCCACACCAAATAGAAGCCTAGACTCTGAGGTGAAAATCTGAATAGCAAAATACCTTAAGCTTATATATGCCTTTATGACTTTTCAGGGTCACATCTGAGATATTGATCCTCCCAGATCAGCTGCGTTTACTATCTAGCATATTGAATGAATGTCAATTATTATTATTAACTGCTACAAATGTCCAATGTTTACTAATTTTAGCATTTTAAATACACCCCCTTCTTTCTTGGTCATGTTATTTGCTTTACTTCACAGTTTGTACAAATGTGCAAAGAACAGATCATCTCCACCCACATCCCCAACCCAAGCCATAGACACAGGCTCAAAGCAGGAGAAAATCATGACCAATAGAATCTCACCATCAGATGCTGCATGCTTGGACAGAAACCCACCTGCACAGGACGTGGCATCTCTGGTCGGGTGGAAAGGCACAGGCCCATTCTTTGGCAAATATCCATCCATGCAGTAGCACTCAAAACTGCCGTGAGTGTTCACACACTGACCTCCATGCCTGCACAGGCCGGAAACCTCACATTCATCTATATCTTGAGACCCATCCCAGATTCAAGAAGGGAGACAAAAAAAGGAGGGAGCATTGTGATAGCCATTTCTCACATTCTCCAGCTGCCTTCAAAACAGATGCAGCTGTTTTTAACTGTGCTGTGAATTTTATTTTACTCTTGGGGCAACTTATATAGTCCTTTACATTATAGGCACTAAAAGGAGCTCAAGAAATACTTGTTGTTGTGTTCTGGAAATTTATAAAAATCATCACCAACCCTCTGACACCCAACAAAACATCCCCGAAAAAGTATGCTTAAAAAATTCAATTCTTATAAAATAGGGATGGTCTCAACTTCATAGTAAGGTATCTGAAGTCATACTCCAAATACAAAATAATTTAGGTGGCAGTGGAAAATGCTTTCCAGTTTATGAGTATAGGATGGTGTGGCAGGTAGTAAGGGAATAATTTAGAAGGAGTTTACTAATTTTACCAAGATTAGAAGGACTTAAAACAGGCTTCCAGAAGGAGAAAAAAAGAGAAGAGAAGAATGGAGTAGATGTATAAAAAATAATCAAAAGAAAAAATCCCCCTGCTTATGTATTTAAATCCAAATAAACTTTTAATGCAACAGGCATAAATGTTGAAAAATAAGTCAGTCATTCTGAATTTCACGGAGTGAGAGAAAAATCTATAAATTTCCCAAGAGAAAGGAAAATCTATAAGAAAAGAAAAGCAGGTGACCTAGGATTTCTTGTCTGAAAGACTAAGTGCTAAGTATAAGTAGCAAGTAGAGAAATATTTACAAATTCTAAGGGAAAGGGACAAAACGTCATGCTACATTTAAACTAAGAAATGACCTGTTAGACCATGAATGACCTTAGAAAGTTATAACACTGACATTTCTTTGCAGAAAAAGATTTTAAGAAAACACTCAAGCCAGCCAATGGCACCAGAATAAATAAGGTCAAGAAAGGAAAAGACATAAAACACAACAAAGAGTGGTGAGAAATGAAATCATAAAACTTAGTTAAGCAATTGCTGATAACATGATCATGGTGACAATATAATTGTGGAGTTTTTGATAACTGTTAAGAAAGGATTCCTTAAAAATAATATAAATCATTCTCAATCTAGAATAAATTTTAGAGGTGATTTCAATACGGCAAAAAAGCAACATGTGTGCCTAGATTTGAGTCATCGTTTAAGCTCATCAAGATTTTTTTATTCCAATGAGGAATTTGTAAAATGTATATTTATAGCTTTGGCACAAATCATTTTTTATCCTGTTTTACTAACCCCAGACTCCTCAAAAAATAGTGGGAATGAACAAATTTCTCAGTGGACTAAAGAGAAGTAGTGCAAGTACATAGGGCAAAACTGTGACTAAGCATCAATGGTGGGGAAAAAACTCATTGTTTCTAGATATTGATGATCTCTATAGGAGTCACTAGAGACATTCATCAGTTTGCTTTGTGTAAGGTTATTCGAACACCTAACAACAATAATTGTTATAATGATTGTTAATAAATATAATTCTCTCATGTCATTTTCTTCTTTTTTTTTAAAGATTTATTTATTTATGCATAGAAGAGCTGGGGTACAGGCCAGAGATGCGGGGGTGAGAGGATTCACCAGAGACAGAGTGGGGAACAGAACAGGCAGACGGACCGAAATACACTGCTGAGGGGAACAGCGGGCGAGACAGGAGAGGTCTGCTGCGCCATGTGGGTTGCTCCCTGACCAACCGGGGATTGAACTTATGCTGCAGTGGCTGCGGATTACTTCATAGTGCAGTGCTTAACCCCTTGTGCCACCAGGGAGGCACTCTCATGTCATTTTCTATATGCCAGACACTGTTCTAACACACTTCATTATTTATGACTGCTTATTTTCATCTTATTTAAGCCTCACAATAGCTCTGTGAAGTAGAAGCAATTATTCTCCTTTATAGATGAAGAAACTGAAACACAGCATAGTTAAGTAATTGAACAGAGAAATCATGGGAAGCCAGGATCGGAAATCCTATATCTGGCTCCAGAGACCATATTAATTTTTAATATTGTTATTATCAATTTCACTTATTTATTTTCTTACATCACTGTTCATTTTTTGGACAGTAATTGGTTTCTCCCCTCAGGTGGAGTCCCCACAGTTCTTCCACACCATAGCCCCTGTGACCAATCATCATAGCCCCTCTTGCTCTCCCCTGCCCTCTTTTGACCACTCTCTTATGTATTGGTGGGGAAGTCCCAGGTATTGGTGATTGGCAAAGTCTCCACTCCTTTCCTTCTTCCTTTTTTTCTTTTTTTTTTAAGATTTATTTATTTATGCATACAAGAACTGGGGCACAGGCCAGGGTGCTGGGGTATGGGGGTGGGGGGATGAGAGGATTCATCAGAGACAGAATGGGAAGCAGAACAGGTGGATCTACTGAAATGCACTGCTGAGGGGAGCAGCAGGTGAGACAGGAGAGGTCTGCTATGCTATGCCATGTGTGTCAGCAACCTGGCCGGGGATTGAACTCAGGGCATAGTGGCTGCATATAGCTTTTATAGTGCTGAGACGTAACCCCTTATGCTACCAGGAAGGCCCCTCCTTCTTCCTTTCTTTAGTCCATTCCCCATTTCTCAGTCATTACAGCATAGGCCCTGATACTGCAGAAAAATGAGTTCATGACAAATCAGGTTGCTGTTGCCATCAAAGTTGAGACGGATTCCTGAGACAGGGAGGATATAAAGACACAGAAAGGGTATATGGTAGTTTTCAGCAGGACCTACTAGGGCCATGCCCATTTGGAGTCACACTGGGGAAGTGACTATCCCTGGTCCTATTTCCACACCAGTCTCATTTCTCTCCCCTGACTCTGGGCCCATCCATGTAAAACCACCCTCACACTGGCAGTGCCAAAGCATCTTCCATTGGGTTGTACCTTGTGGCCATATTACCATGATCCCCAAGAATCATTCAGAAGACAGCTCTGGGTACTTCTCCAGAACTAGAGGCCCTACCCTAAAATCCTTGCAACCCACTCCTCATCTGTCATTGGTGACAACCAAAGAGGCGCACCTACAACCTGCTGCTGAACTTGACCTGAACTCTACAGAGTACAATAAATACCTGGTTGCAGGATTCCTTGGAATTCAGGAACTAGGATTCACAGCTTGTGGCTGGAGGTAAACACTGGATAACTGCTGATACCCCCAAACTTGATAAGCCTCTGCCCAGTGAAAGTCCACTGATGTTTCTGTGGCAGATTCTGAAAGAAGCTTAGACTCATCAAGAAAAGTCATTTTCTTTTGGGGGTGACAGAGGTGTTCTGAAATTAGGTAGTGTTGATGGTTGCACAATTTTGTGAATATACTAAAACCTGCCGAATTACACTTCAAAAGAGTGAATTTGAGCATGTGTGAATGACAACTTTTTTTTTTAGATAAAGGAAAGATCACTAAATCATTACAAAAAATAGAATAAACTGAACAGAGCCTGGCATCTATTTGGCTGGGACTTGTCTATACTGTCTTCCTTCCCCTTTCTTTTTTATAAATGTCAAATACATCCTTGAAACTATTCTGATATAGTTGCACAAGTTTTTCCCTGGCAAACTCCTACAATCTTGAAAACACAATTTCAGGTCCTCCAGAAAGCTGCGCCGATCCCTTCCTCACTTCCCAGATAAGTACATGCCACTAAGTCCCTTGGTTTGCCCATGACTAAGGCTATTATGAAATTCACACTCTACCGTTACCTCTCACTGGCACAGTCATGGCACATAGGAAGTGCCTGGTGAATGAGGACTGAATGAACTGAACTCTAGATCATCATCTTAGAAGATGTTGCTTTTTTTTTAACTGTGGGTTTTTTAAATGCACCTAATTTAATGCTGTCAAGAGTGACTTCTGCAATCAGGTAGCAAATAACTTGCTAACCAAACAACAGGATATTGTAAAATGTTTTCTCTGAGGGAATGTATTCACTTGTGCCACCAATAAATCAAATGTACTTTTGAGGGATTTTTACGTTGGTACAGGTCAAAAGGGAAAATGAACCAAAGCTCGGAACCCGCAGTTCTAGTGGGGACGAAGATAAAACATTCTCTCCTTTCACTTTAAATATCACAAAGCTTTTAAGCAAAGTCATTAAGTTTCTATAAAACCATCTTAGAACCAGACATCCTTTTCCCCCTCCAATCTTCATGACTCCCCAAAAATTTTCTTAGAAAACCAAAGAGCTGTGTTATCATGATGTGCCATAAACAGAGTTCAGATAACAGAACAGCCACTGAAAATTAGGAGGGTTTTGCTCACCCCTTGTATTCGACCAAAATACACCCAGAAATCTGACCTTAGAAGCTATTGAGGTCCTAAAGGTTGCACTCCTCACTGAGGTTATTCCTCTGGGAGGAACTTCTACATCTCACAGGTTAGCTCCCCTAGCCGGAGAGCTACCCACATGGTACAGCAGACCTCTCCTGTCTCACCTTGCTACTCCCCTCAGCAGTGTATTTCAGTCAGTCTGCCTGTTCTGTTCCCCACTCTGTCTCTGGTGAATCCTCTCACCCCCACACCTTTGGCCTACACCCTAGTTCTTGTATGCATAAATAAATAAATCTTAAAAAAAATCCTAAACACCATAATACCATCCTTCTAAGTGAATGAAATCAACAGTTCCCTAATATTAGTGAGTAATCAGTCCCTTATGGATATCCTGCTGGGATAGTCCCTACATTAAATCACACAATGTCCCAGCCTGTCCTTTCCTCTTATATCCCAGGTCCTGCCCACCATCACCCTCCCACAGCTCCCTCATGAGTACCTGCACAGAAGGTGCCATCGTTGGGAATGAAGGTCTTGTTGTGGTTTGTGGCTCGATAGCCTTCTAGGCAGATGCAATAAAAGCCTCCGAGAGTGTTGTGGCAAGATGTGTGGTTCCCGCAGACCACGGTGTCTCCAAGCTGACATTCGTTCTTATCTGTTGATATAAGAAGATGTGGCACAGAGACAGCGATCCATCTCCCCCATGTTCAGCACCCCACACTGCCCTCCTGTGCTGTGGACTCGGGACCAGAACCTGGGACAATACCTTCACAGTATATTTCCCCAGCTCTTTCTCTTCTCACTCTGCTTCACAGACTCCAGCCACAAGTCTATGAAAGTGCATGTTAGGGGTCTCTGCCCAGCATGTCAATCTCATAATCCATCTTATTTGCAGAGTGGGAGAAGAGGGTTCTTTTTTGAATTTTTCCACACTTAAAAAGATCAGAGGTCAGAGGCCTAAGTTACAAATCCAGCAGAATCTCACTTTTCCAGCTTAGCCATTCTCTTATTTTTTTCATAAATGCCAGAGAAGGACAATATTATATCCAGTGATTAACTGGAAAATTTGTTACTTCTGAGTTACCAGGAAACACAATGGAATTAGTGCTTAAGCCTCATCCGGGAGTAGGGCTAATACGGTGGCAGGAATAGCTCCTGCTAATCATCAGTGACCCCTGTAAGTAATGTCAGACACCAGTGAGGAGGAGCTGGACAATGTATAGGGGCCTGCCTTGATTATCTGCATTAAATAATTTGACAGAGATGTAAAATGTCTGTCCTCTAGCCCCAGGGTCAGCAAACTTTTTCTGTTGCTTCATTTATTTTCTTTGTATTTTTCTTTCTTCTTCTGCCTAGGTCCTTTGTGCATAATTATGTTCAAGGTCACTGATTTGATCCTCCATTTGGTCTAGTCTGCTTCCCTAGCTTTTTGTGAAAATTTATGTCTCTTCTATTGATCTTTTTACATCCTACAGCTCCCTTATTTTCTTAGTTAAATCATCAATTTCTCTTTTTTGTTCATGAGTTATACTTCTCATGACATTTATTTGTTTTTCTCACTGTTGTAACTCTTGATTAGCTTTTCTGGGTACCCTTATATCACTCTGACTTGTTTTTCTGCATTTTCTTCCATTTATTTGAATTTCTTTATCATGGCAATTTTGAGCTCTCTATCTGATAGGAAGATAAAATCTTTCATATCTTTGCAAGCTTTTCTGCAAAGAATCAGTCAGTCAGCCTCTGTTGCAACTGCTTACCCTTGCCCCCTGCATTTGGAGGAAAAAGCAGCCATACACATTAGGGAAACAAGTGAGTGGTGGTGGATTCTAATAAACCTCGACAAAAACAGACAGCAGTCATATTTAGCCTGCAGGCCAGACTTTGCTGACTCTGCCCTACATTCTACCTTCAGAGGAAACTCCAGTGACCAACTTCTTAAGCATCCTTTTAATCTATCCAGCTAGATTTGGGTTTTGTTTTATTCTGTGGGGGGGGAAAGAATTAACTTATGAAACAGTCTTTCTGGTTTTTATTTAGTGTTTCATTAAACCTCAAAGCAATAAAATTGCCTCTCCCAATTGCATTCATTTCCTGCTAACTCAAAAGTACCCCCCAAAACTTAGGGTTGCTTCCCCCTTTTTCTTCATATTATCTTTTTAAAAACTGAATTGCACCAAGAGCATGATTTGTGGTTGAGACTGTCTGGGATGAGCTTTGCATGTGTGATGACAGAGACAAAACAGAAGCTCAGCACAGCCAGGCCTAGTGTCCAGTCCAGTTCACAGAACAAGGGGTATCAGACACAAGCCCAGTTGCCCATAAAATGAGATATTCCTGCCCTTGCCATTGTTTCTAAGGCATGTCCCACATGAAGACTTTCATGGAAGGGATATTTGGGTTTGTAGGGATTTCTAGAATTCTTAGGTCCCTTGGCTCAGAGCATTTTGTCGCTCCTCTGACACAGGTGGAACCTCACCTGTAATCTATGGCTCAGTCTCAGCAGACCCAAGCCTGGGATATGCAATGTCCAGTGTCTGGGAGCTAATACCATGTAAATAAATAAAGCTCCCTCCTCACATTATGAGAAGTTTCTACTGTTCAGAAGTCAAAGAACAATCAAGAGTGCAGCCAGCTTTCAAGAGAGCAGCATTTCATAAGGGGCAGGAGCAGAGAAGGCTTGTTCATGCTCCTCAACTCCAGCTTCATTTCCAAACCTCTGCTACAAGGAGGTAAGGTGGGGTTTCCATACTCCTCATGAGCAGAATTCCAAAGAGAGAAGGTCAAAGAAGGCACAATTGCAGTCTGCAGGCCCTGACAAGGGAGGGGGAGCAACTGTGAAAACTGGTATCTTGGGAAGGTGATATAATTTTTTAAACTCAGGACTAGACTGTTACTTTTCTGTAGGGAGAAGAAACCCAAAGATATCACAAGGTTGTAGATTCTCAATCCAAAACCCCAAGGAAAAACTATCAATATCTTCACTGTATGTAACAAGGTTGCTGGGAGGAAACTTGAGATTAGAGATTATCATTGTAACATTCATTATTATAAAGTTGCTGTGCTGACTCTGGCCATGGTGGATGTCACAAGGCAAAAAACAACCTCAGATGCTTCTAGTCTAAAGGTCTTTGTGTTCCTTCACACAAAGGGTTATAATTACAAAGACTTTGAGGATGGATTTTGGGTAGACATAAGACACAAAGCAATAGTATTTCGCCAATTAGTCAAAAGTCCAATAGGAAATTGGATTTTGTCTTTCCTTATATTACTAATATTAAGTTTTATATCAAAAAAGAATGTTGCATCAATAAATGCTTAATAATTAATATTATGATAAATTAATACTTTGTTAACAAATTAGTAAATTAAACTCAAGACTTGAAACATTTCAAATGTGTGCTAATTCAGAGAATATCTAGAAATTTAAGTTCAATGACCTCTAGTGTGAAGGATAGTTACTTGGAAGCCCACAAGAATGGATATATTCTAACTCTAAGACAAAGACTATAATTGACAAGCCTTCCTGCAAAAAAAAAAAAACAAGTGAGCAAAATAACAATATTTTCTTCCCAAGAATATCAACTCTCCAACACTAGAGAATCTTTTTTCTTGATTCAACTTTTCAACTTAACCAAGGATTCAAAACTTACCAATACACTGGGTTCTCCCGTTGCCCACAAATCCATAGTTGCAAATACACATCTTCTTCCCCTCTCCTTGCTTACATGTAGCATGTTTATGGCAACTGGCACAGACATCTGAACCTGAATCATAAATTGCACATTTTAGGAAAAGAAAATTTTGATCACCTACTCTAGATGAGTCATATTCAAGGTAGTAGAAATTTACAGTAGAGAATCAAAATAGGAATACCAAAGTTGAATACTCAACATCAAAAACATGCAATGGTCACTCACTGCCAGCAAAGTCAAGTAAAATCCCTTCCCTTGCCATTCACGGCTCTTAGCAGTCTGACTCTAGGTTAACCCTCCAGCCTCATCATTCCCAGACCCACACAAGGTATTCTCCAGGGAGAAGGCTGACTACTTTCAAATTTCAAGTCATGGGCATGGTGCTCCCTTGAGTTTCAATGCCTATTCTTCTTTCTCTACCTAGCTAGCACCCATTCCCATTTCAAGATCCAGCATGAACATCACATTCCCGAGGTGTTTCCTATCCCTCCATTCTTGAGAAAATGTAAATATATCTTCCTCTGTGCCCCCAATCCTTATACATTCCCTATCAACCCTGATAATGTGTCATTATATTCTATCCAGCTCTTGTGCACTATGGGTGAGCTTCTCAAGAACAGGGATTGTTACTTGCCCATATGTCATTACGGCACAGTTTAAAGAGTCAATATATTTTTCTTAAGTGTCTGGATAAGGGAATCTGCCATCATACTTAATACAACTCAAAAAGTGAATGGAGGGAAGAAAAATTCATCTATTACCTTATCCATTTTCCTTTTAGGGTAAAAGTGAAAATGTTTTAAATGTCAGTGAGATAACAGTTCCCAAAAGAATGATCAGATCGAAGTTATTTAGATAAACAGCAAAATGCCTGGGGCTAAAACTCCGAAAACATCCAAAGCTACCAGATGGTAATATATGGCCCAAGATCAAACAAGAATTTCTACCCCTGGCTATGTGGCTATTGTGTTTCATTCTCAGTGTCTGTAATTTCAGAAGTGACCTAGTAAGGAGAACCTTGCCAGCATGGAATTTCATCTTGGTCTTGGCCCCATTACTACACAGGTAATAAAGCCTAGCGCCTCAGGCTGCTCCAGGCATGCAACCAACTAAGAGAGGGAGGTTTCCAAATGATCCTAGCCCTCCTGCTTTATTTTTTTTAAACAAAAGATAACGCAGATATGAGATGAAACAGCTTTATCACTACATAATACAAAATTAACCTTGGAATTTTTACAAATATCCCAGAGTAGAAAGAAAAATGCAACAAAGTTCAAAAAGGTAGAAACTGCACAGGTCATCCTGCCTGACAACCTTGTAATAAAACTACAAAGTAAAACATATGACTTAGCATCCCCCAGAGAAAACCTACTTGGAAATTACAGGGCACTCTCAATTAATTCTTGGCATAAAGAGGATATCAAAATTGAAATATTAATATTAGATAGCATATAGTCAGAAAATAAGAGTTTTACATTTTTATACAAAAGAGAGGGGGTAAATGTTAATACAAGAAGTTTGGGGGAAAAGAAAAAAATACAACAGAGGTTTGTAGGTGGTTAGGAATTACTAGACTAAAAAATATATATAGGAGGCCTCCCTGGTGGCGCAAGGGGTTGGGACGCAACCTATGAAGCTATCCGCAGCCACTGCAGCATCCCCAGCCAGGGAGCTGCCCATATGGCGCAGCAGACCTCTCCTGACGCGCCCGCTGCTCCCCTCAGCAGTGTATTTCAGTCAGTCTGCCTGTTCTGTTCCCCGCTCTGTCTTTGGTGAATCCTCTCACCCCCCACACCTCTGGCCTGTACCCCAGTTCTTGTATGCATAAATAATCTTTAAATATATATATAAAGAATTGTAAAATATATTTAAATTCATTGAAAACAAATACTTTCCCCTAAGTCAGTGCATCATAAAGACCAATAAAGTAGTCAAAACTCAGTTAAGAAAGGTGAGGGGGAGAAAGAACAAGGATAACACACATTCAGAATAAGAAAAAGCTTGTAACAAAAATACATAAAGACTTAATGAAAGGGGCCTCCACGGTGGCACAGCGGTTGAGCGCTGGGTTGCGAACCTGCCCGCAGCCTCTGCAGTGCTGGTTCGATCCCCGGCTGCTCCCCGGCCACCGGAGGGTCCCACATGGCGCGCAGACCTCTCCTGCCGCCCGCTGCTCCCCTCAGCAGTGTACTTCAGTCCTTCTGCCTGCTCTGCTCTCTGCTCTGGCTCTGGTGAATTCTCTCACCCTCCCACACTTCTGACTGTACCCAGTGCTTGTATAAATAAATAAAAATAAATCTTAAAAAAAATTTAATGAAAGACTTCCAGTTAAACACTACAGATGTAATACACTCTCTGAAACTGCTCCCTCCACCTCCCAAAAATGACATTAAGGACTAGAAAAGACACAAACCTTGGGAGAGAACATGAGGGCAGATGAGGATATCAACAATATTCACAGAAGGACACATGGTTGCTGCCTGAGCAACGAGAAGAGCCAAAAGCCAGCTCTGAAGGGCCCGGGAATTGAGTCACTGAGTAAAAACCTCTGAAAACAAGCTGAAAGGTCAGGGCTGAAGGTTCAAGAAAGTGGGTGAAAAATGCTTAAGGAGTAGTAAAATGCCTGGAGCCGCTCACTAACTCCAGTATGAGATGGAATTTTACAACCTGGAGAAAATGGGCCAGAAATGCTCCTGATTATTTGGGCAACAGGCACGGCTAAATGAGAAGGAGATCTAAACCTAAATGGTCCACCAGTATGGGTTAACTATACTGAATCGCTGTTAATATATAACATTTTAAAACAGTACCATAAGGACATTGCCAATTCATTAAAATCCCATGCAGCCAAAATCCTGGAAATACTTCCTGAAATAACTGAGCACAACTATGGGAGCTTGGATGGGGGCTGGACACACATTGGAGGGGGTGTGAACCCTGTTCCCCCACATCATATACACTGTTATAAACCAATGCTACTTCAACAAAGAAGAAGAAGATGATGATGATGATAATGATGAAGAACAATAGGCTAAGACCACAAACTCAGCTGTGTTAACTCTGTAGCAGAAACATTTTCCCCAGTGTGTGTGTGTTGCAGCAATAGACCTAAACAGCATACTAATGAAATCAACAATAAAACGGTACCTTCTCTTACATGAAATATTTGTCTGGATAAAGATAGTAGAATTGATATATATTTCATTCCACAGACTTCCATCAAATGGAAAACATTACTTCATGGAACTACTGAGTGAATCTAATAAACATAAAAATATTAAGAAGCATAGTGCCACCCACTCAGACAAATTAAAGATAGTCTAGTCTGAATTAGTGAAGAATAGATGTTAGAATTTTTTAATAGATTAAGTTCAAATTCATTCAATAAATACAACCAGACAAGCAAAACACAGCCTTAACGGGAAGGCAACCAGGTATAGGGGAAACCACTGGACTGGAGTCAGAATTACATCCTGAATGAACAATGATGTAAAAAATTTTTTAAAAGAAGAATAAATAAATAAATAAATAAATAAATAAATGTCTTTATAATGCTGCTTAAAAAAAAAATCACATCTGACACTAGCCTAGATGCCTAAATGAGTCTAACTCATTGTGTGACCTTTTGCAAATTACTTAACCTGTCTGGGTCTCAGTTTTTTCATACATAAAACAAGAGCTTTGGACTTCTCAAATTTTTCATGCTCAATTACCTGGGGCTCTTGTTAAATTGCGGGCTCTGATTCGATAGGTCTGGGGCCTCTAGTTCTCATTTCTAACAGGCAGACCACGTTGCAAGGAGCAGGAGTGAAATGACCACTAAAATCTTTTCCTTCTAAGGTTCTAACACTTCATCCTTAAGGTGACTGTTTCAGTGACTTATTAAGAATAATTTAGTAAGGGGGGATCGTACACCTCTATTATGGCAACAACAATGTAAACCAATATTAACTCAATAAGTATTTCTTAAAAAAAGAATAATTTAGTTGAAGTATAAACCCAAGGACAGTACACAGCATGTAGTAGAACTCATTGCAATGAAAGTTTACTCCTCATGCCGGCAGAAAAAGACCAGCTGTATGCCAGGTTACCAAGGGCCTGTCAGACCACATGCAGAAAAGAATGTGGTTTTCAGAGAAAGAGGGCCTCACTGAAGCTGGCTAATCAGCCATGATTAGCTTAATCTTAGGGCCCTATAGGGGAGCTTCCTGGGAAAAAGTTCTTGAGATAGAAGCAGGGAGCACTACCCCAGTGCAAGGAAAGGCAGAGGATGTGCCGCTTCTGACCACACAATCATGTCTATTGTTCAACAGTCCCTTAATTACAAATCACCTGGAGATAGAGGGACCAATCTGTCCCAGTTAAAAAGTGCTGTGTCCCGGAATACCCCTCAACTCCATGCAAACCAAGACAGTTGCTCACCCTACCTGGTTAACCCCCCCAGAGATTCTGATTTAGCAGGTGTGGGGTGGGGCCTCAGAATCTGCATTTCTGAGAAGCTCCCTGGGTCACTCTAGGAGTAGCATGCAAAGTCTCTCTTGGCCTCAAGGACTTGGTTCTAAATCCTGGGAAAGCAAAGGCAATGCTTGGGAAATCTTTTACCAAGTCTGGACTAATGCAAAACATAGCTCTGGATTAATGGTACACAGACAGGAATTCTCCAGAACTTCTAGAAGGATCACTTTGCCCCTCTGTAACTTGAAGGGGGTGGTGTCAGCTGAGGAGGAGGCAGCTTCACATCCGTGTCAGTGACTTTATGTGGGTCATCAGGAACTGCTCGGGAGAGCAGAGAGGTGGCTGCCAGGTAGCAACTGAGAGATCTACATCAGGGGTGAAGAGCCCCAAACCCCCACCCAGGAGTGTCTAAAATTACTGCAAAAAAACCAGGAGTGTGGGGATTCCAAATCTAGGAGGAAAAGCCTGACAGATACTCTGTTTCTATGATTCTAACGCCCCAACTAGGGCTACCGCCCCTAGACTCACTTCCTGCCTCCACTCTGCAGAAACTAAGAGGCAGCAAAAACTACATCCAACAGCAATAGGCTGTGGCAGGTTTTAGTGGGGACCTAGTT